AAAAAAAAAAAAGACAATTTCGTTTTGACTTGGAGGGGAAAACTTCATAAAATTAGGGTTTTTCCGTTTTGTTTATTTCTTGGTTAAAATTTAAAATTTAAGAATATTTTTCTATTATTGTTTTACAGTGCTTAATCCATAAGTATAATAAAAACTTACCAATTATACCTTAGTTATTGTACATATACCTTGAAAAATAGCATTTTAAAAATTAATTGTGGTTTTACAAAACAAATCGATGGTTATTTTCGATTAAAACAGTTCGAGCGAGCGTAGCGAGTGAGAGACCCTGCTATTTCTTTAAGCACACACAAAATGCTATTTTTTTCAAGATTAATGTACAATTATTTCAAAAGTAAATGTGTAATGTAAGTTTTGATTATACCAATGGATTAAATATATAAAACACACATTTTGAAAAAAAAAAAAACTGAAAATATTAAATTTTAACTAAGAAATAAACAAAACGGAAAACCCAAACTTCATGAGGTTTTCCCATCAAACTCCCAAAATAAAATATCTTTTTTTTTTTAAAATTTTTAATGTACACGCAAAATCACACATTTAGAAAAAAAAAATCTAAAAAATCGATATGTTGCTAAACTTGAATCGTTCCATCATTTTAAAGTCGGTGATAACCTGATTATGAAATTAAATGATTAAAAAAAACTAAGTTTATATATATAACTCATTACTTTTTTGTAGAACCCTAGATTGTTTAAAAATTGCTTGAGTTCCAATGTCTTCACATAAATGTTGAGAATTATATATATATAGGTATCTATAGTAGATATCTAAACCGAAATGATATTGACCAAAACCAATTATTATTCAGGTATTATAATTTTTGGTTCCATTTAAATCACAATTATCACCTTCCTTCAATAATGTTTCTAAATCCACACAATGCTTTCGTAATGTTTCATCTTCAAATAACTTCAAATTTTCAAAATTATAAAAAAAAATCCAAAGTTTTCTAAATGACGAGAAAATTTCACAAATCATTGATTAATTGATACAATTTGCTTGATCTACCAGAGCCAAAAAATTATTATGATAAAATTTTTGTTCATTAGAAACTGTATGTGTATCATACTTTCATAATCAAACTGCTTTCTTTTTTTTGGAACTCTAGATTCTTTAAAAATTGCCTAAGTTCCAATGTCTTCACATAAATTTTGTGCATTTTTTTTTTGATTACTCAAACCCCTTTTCTCTAAAATTATTTCGAAAAATCATTAAGACCACTTAATAACTTAACAGCATTATTCAGTTTCATGCTTTTATTCTGAAGACATTTACTGATTTCTACTAAAGCATCATGTATTTGGCATAATGAAAATTAATAGGTTTAATTGATTCGACCCGAAATTCCCATCTGGTATCTGACATTGGCTCTAAAGTAAAGCCTGAAACGTATTTTAAAAGAATAGTCCATCTTTCAGTAGAAGCACTAAAATTGTAAAAATTCTTTGAATTACGCCAATAAATGGCAGTAAGTCAAGGCTGTGCGCAGTGCATGGTACAAAAAAAGCTCTTGGGTTCTCTGAAATAATTCGGGATTGTGCTCCCTGTTCTAAAAAAAAAATAAAGTAATTTATCATTAATATTTTGTTGCCAATTATCTGGATTGTCGTTGTTATTTTCTTCTAAATTAATTTGTCTATAAAATAAAACTTTCAAAAACGCTTACTTATTACTATATTAAATTTTCAAAAATATTATAGAAGTATAAGAATAGGTTAAATTGTATTTGATGGTTTGAGTATAGATTGGTTATACTTGTGTAAGTATATATTTATAATTGAATATTAATAATGTGAAACTATACTAAATTCCTTTTAAAAAATATTTGTTCAATAATTTTCCTGTGGTTGAGGGTAATATTGTAGTTTGAGGGTTTTTTTCAAGGGTTTTTCCAGGGATTTTTATTCCAGGATTTATTATAAACTATATTAGTTTTGTTCGTTTGGTTGTACCGGTATTCGAAACGTTGAATAATAATTAATAATACCTGCGATCACGTGTGTGCGACGGTCTTTGAGTCAAAAAAAAAAATATTATCATGATAACTTAAAGATGATGCTGCGGATGCACAAAAAAATAGAGAAATTACAAAATTGCTTTAATTTGATATGCGACATATCGCTAGAGCAATGATCGTAATATACGTGCTTTAAATTAGTCTCGTCTTGTTTAAATAAAATAATTAAATTGCCGTTGTCCCTAATTAATTGTTTAGGTTTACGGGAAAACGATTGCGCCAAGTAGCACACGTCTATTTGGTTGTGTCGACCTCGAGAAAAATATGAACGTATGATGTTTTGGTTTTCACTTATTATGTTGTCGAAAACAAATACTGCGTTTGGCAACGGGTTTTCGGGCGTGATAACTTTATTATTATCGTAAAACGTGAATAATTTATTTTCATCTATATTTTTTAAAATATCGTATAACATTCGATATTTCGGTTGATCTAATGTTTTCAAATATATATAAACATTATGGAACCGTGTCCCGTTCACATTGATTAGTAACGCATAAATCAAATTGGTTTTACCGCACCCGGATGGTCCAATGACTAGTGCACGTATCGTATTAGGAAAAAGGTCCGCCATGCCGCAATGTTCTATTAAAAACTATAGGCGGATCAACGTTGACAACTGTGAGTTTTACTTGGTGTTCTATAAACTTCATTTTCGTATAAATATTCGTACAATGTGGAAAATTCATAATACAATGTCACTTGCTTGAAAACGGAACAGAAATAAATGCTACGGACTCATCAATACTCTTATAATTAAATTACCGGTCGAACTTCATTTGCCGGGCTACCAATATTGCAGACCGGGTACCGATTTGAAAAAACGTATAGCTCGAGGTGACGTTGGTATAAACCTGTTGGACTCTGTGTGTAGGGAACACGATTTAGCTTAAGATAGTAGTAATTCTATAACGGAACATAATAAAGCAGATTTTATGTTGGAAAATCAAGCTTGGGAAAGTTTCAAAGCCAAAGACTTCTTTGAAAAGCATCGGCGTGGGCTGTTACTACGAGCACGAAGGCAAGACGTAAATTATGGGTGGAGTGCGGGTCCAATGTCGTCGTTAAAACCGCTAAAACTATTGTAATGTTACAAAATGTGTGCATCAGTTGCTGATAACAATATGCACGAGTTGGCCGTTCCCCCGGTCTGTTCGGACAGCTGACGATTGTGATAATCCCCGCACTAACTGGTTTGATGATGTTGTCGCCACTGCTGCCCGACGTCCCGGTCACCACCGAGTCCCACATCAAAACTACATAGGTAGTTACGATTCGACAGTGGGATTGATACAACATCGTAAGCCCAAACTGTCCGCGCCGAGTGGGTCTCAAAACAAAAAGAAAAACACACTTTTCTTTTTGTCATGATGTTCGGCGCCAACATGATGGGCTAGACGTACCGACTGTGGTCTGCGGTGGATCGCGAACGGAGGAGCCGTGCGACAACAACGACAATTTATAATATTTTTGTTTTTTTTTTTATTTTATCTCAGCACTTTTCCTAATTTTGTTTTCCCCCTCTAGTCCATTTCTAGACCGTTCTAAGATTCACGTTACAAAATTATAATAAATATAAAATCATTAATGGACCGAGCTCTCTCTTTTTTTTTTTTCTCTCCCTTATTTAAAACTAAAACATGACCAACAAAAACCTACTAGTTCAGCCAACGCAACTTTGTTGTGTTTGGTCCGGCTTTTAGGTCACTGTTGAGTGTTCCCCCTCAACAGTGGGTAATGAGTAAGCCAACCGAGGTGGAGGCCGAAACCTTACACTATATTAAAGAAAAACATTGGTAAATAAAACATACCAATATTAATAAAAAAATATCCGACTGCTGCGAAAAGACGTTCAAGAAAAATAGAAATAAAAATCAAACTCCCCGAGTAATACCTATACCCAAAACTGGTGGTATGCTGTCACTTATACCAATTTTCTCTGGACTGTCAGCGTTGAGTTCTTAGACGAGTGGTGCTGCCGCCGTAACCAACACGGTAAGTGAGTTTAACCGTACATCGCCAACACATTTGGGTAAAGGATTATACTTCGCACAGAGCACATTGAAATTTTACTCCGTCGTGCGATTTAGCGTGGCGAGTCATATTACGTTAAACGTTAAAAACTTTAGCACAATTGGCGAAAGTACATTAATACCTATTCATTTTTAATCGGATATAAAAATGAACAAATACAAATAATGAGTTAATCGACAACGAAAATTATTAAGACTTAGAAAAAAACAGTGATCGCGAAAGAAAACTGCAAGGCACTTGGCACTGGTGTGTAGTAAAATCACTACTGACAATCGATCGTCCGTCGTTGTGGTCATGGATAAATAATCCGATAATATTTAATGGTGTAAATAGTAATTCTTTCTTACATTTTTAGATTATATTATCGACGGTATGATAACGCGCGAGAAGACACAATTATATATATGAACCTTTGTATCGACAGTGACCGACATTCTGAGAAATACGATATGCGTTGACCGCCCAATAGGCGGGCGGGGTATATTGAGCTCGTTAATAATGATTGCTAATGGTATGTTATGAAAAATATTATTTAGACAAATAATAATAAGAACTTATTAAAATATATACACTATGTACAAGCATTTTATATACGGTATACAAATTTGATGTGGGGCTTAGAGACCAACTCATACAGGATCGTACAAGATCTTACAGACAAGAAATGTGCGCTGCTGTAGATATATATATATATGTATACATTCTTTTTGTTTTCGGATAGGGATCGGCTATATGTATATTATAAACAGGGAAGATATGTGTGTGTATAGGTATATACGGATGTAGGTATGTATGTGTATATGTGTGTTTGTAGGTATATGTATACGTTTATGTGCGTATATATGTGTGTGTAGGTAGGTGGAGAGGGTCGGCGGGTAGGGAAAGGCGATAGTAGTATTTGATGATAACAGTGTGGAAAAAAATGGGGGAATGGTTTAAAGAGGCTGAGTACGTGGTGCATGTAGAAAATATTATAAAGGAGGTGAAGGAAAATACAGTCAAGTTCGCGTATAACGATGCCGTATATAACGATATTCCGGGTAAAACGATTCCAATCAATGTATTTGGTTGGTTTTATATGTTATGTATAATACTTTTATTCGTATATAACGATATCGGTTATAACGATAATCCGGATATAGCGATGTTATTTTAAAACGAAAATTGGTTTTTATAATTACCCATAACGATTAATAATATGCATGTACATTGTACATTGTGTAGTAAATTTGATTTCGTCCAAATCGATAATTCTTAATCTTATCTGTAACAGATAACGTGTCTTGTACGACCGTATTGTATATAGAATACTTACGTTTCTTAGTCGTTTAGTTGCCGTTTTGATTGCTATCCGTTTAGACATGATCCGAATAAATTAAAAATGTCAAATAAAAGAAGACGCTGTTTCACTATTGCTGAAAAAGTGAAAATAATTGAACGTTTAGAAAGTGGTGTTTCTAATAACCGACTGGTTAAAAGAATGGGATAAGCAACTAGCAAAGGAAAAACGACATATTCTATTGACTGTAGATAATTGTCCGGCTCATCCTCCTCTTCAAACTGAATTTATCAAGTTGGTTTTTCTCCCTCCAAATACGACCTCTGTGTTACAATCTTTGGATCAAGGTATTATTAAAGCATTAAAAGTGAAATTTCGGAAAAAACTAGTACTCAAAATTATTAATCAAGAGGAATAGGGAAAATTTCAGTATTAGATGCAATTTTAATGATTTCCGATGCATGGAATGATATTTCTACCACTACAATAAGAAACTGTTTCCACCACGCTGGATTCAAGGCTTCGGTAAACGACGAAACAGAAATAGTAAATGAAAATAATTTGGACACAGGGTGCTTTTCTGAAGAAAACATACAAAGTTTTGCGGAGTTTGACGATGCTCTTTTGACCAACGAAGAACCTAATGAAGAAGAAATTTTCAAGTCTATTTTGAATGAAAAAAATAATGATGAAAGTGAACAAGGTGGCGAAGAAAGCGAAGAAATAGTATTCAAAGTACCATCTATTTCGGAAATGTATTTTTATATTGATCAGGTGCGTACTTTTGTTTCGGTAAACAGTGACATAAATACGCCAGAAGTATCAATGGCATTAAATAATATTTCTAATTTTGTTAAAAAATCATATTCTAATTATAAACAAACCACTATTAAAGATTATTTTTCAAACAAATCGTAAACATGTACTATATACCTATATTATAAAATGTATTTTTATTAAAATTTATATAAATACCTTGAATGTTAAAATATNTCTAAGTAGTCGATAATGTGGAAAAAATATTTTGCAAAATGGGGGCATGGTCTAAATCAGCGTTTCCCAAAGTGTGTTCCGCGGAACCCTAGGGTTCCGCCGGATTATCTCAAGGGTTCCGTCAGATGTATGTGATGTTGAGAAAATTATTTTATATTATATTTGGATTATTTATATAAAAAATATTATTTAAAAAAAGTTCACTTAAAATCTAAATAATAGTTATTATAGTATAATATCGTTATTATATTATATATTATATCGTTATAACACTCATGTACCTATAGACGTTGTCATTACGTTAACGATGTAGATTTGTAGAATTTAGATAAGCGTGTCAACGCGATTGCCAGTAAATTGTGCGATAACTTATAAAAATAACTTATGTGCAGGCTCGAATATGAGCAGTTAATTGAAATTAAAAGCATGTCATATTTAAAACAGAAATTTGAATCTGGATCTTTAAAAGAATTTTGGATTGAACTTAAGGACGAGTACCCATCTCTAGTTGAAAAAGCTATTTTTACTCTATTACCGTTTGTAACAACCTACCGTTGTGAGGCTGGTTTTTCCTCTTATGCGTATACAAAAAATAAATACAGAAATAGATTTAATGCCACTCCAGACTTACGAATTCAAGTTTCAGATATAAAACTTAATTTTAAAAATATTGTAAATCAAACAATGAAACAGTTCCATTCTTCTCACTAAAAATATTAATAGTATGTATATTTTAAAATCTAATTAATTATAATTTTTTAAAAATAAATATTTGTGATAATTAAATAATAAATGTTTGTTATTTAAATAAATAAAATTTTCATTGAAAATTGTTTTTTAACTAATTGTAATAAACAATAATCATTAACAATATCATTAAAATATTTTTTGTAGTATTGTTTTTTTTTTTTTAGAAAAAATGGGGTTGAGTTGGAAGTAAAGACATTAGGGTTCCGCAAAACACAAACTATTTCCTAAGGGTTTCGTGATCCTAAAAGTTTGGGAACCGCTGGTCTAAATAGGTCTAAAAATATTGATCAACTAATTTTTATAAAACAAAATGACAAATGCGTAACTATTACATATTATACATAATATATGTAATATCATTACATATATTACCTATTACATAGTTATTGAGAATTATTTGACAATACGTTTTAAGATAACCTTCTGTTTAGAAAAAAATTCGTACCCTATAACAGGTAAACGGCCAACGTGCTCATGTCTAATAGGTATTTCGTAAAATTTACGCAAACCTTAATATTGTTATATTTTATAAGGCTAATTCACATTTCATATATTATACTAAACAAATTAAACAATAAACTTAAACAGTTATTAAGGCATTAGGTTTATTTATGAAAATTATTTACCTATTAAAGTTAGGTTTAATTTTTAATTAAAAATTTAATAATAAATACATTGTTAATACACGGCACGATACGGGGTTATGGTTATTTTTTTTTTTTATCAAACTATTTTTTTTGAGACGGGCATCTATTCAGAGAAAAATTATGTCTTAATTTCCATCTCTTTATCACTAATAAAAAATTATTTTTATTTTCATTTCTTTATTATAATACACATTTTGGTGTAGGTATCATTTTCAATACATATCCTATCATTAAAAATAGTTTTTTACTTATAGCAGTTTAAATGTATAAAAAAATTGCTTTAAAGCAAATTTTCAATAATATTTCAATAGAAATTCCTTAACTTTTATTAAATATTAATTTCTATATGTTGTTAGATTTAATAGGCATTTAAAAGACTATAGCTAAGAACATTAAAATAATAATAGCATATTTGATATGAATGTATGATACAATAAAATTGTTAAATCTTTTACGAAATGACTATTTTGAAAATGTTGTAAAAGTGTGTAACATAGAAAAGTTAATATTTTTTTTTTTTTTTGTGATTAACAGATGCAAATAAAAATTTAATTTTTCTCTAACCTATAACTACATCACTGGTGTTATGTCACACGTTATTTGTTTTATTTTTAAACTCATTGCTTAGAGGAATAATGAATTTTGTTTGTCTGTTAAGATAACAAGTATGATCTAGTAATGTTTAGTACGTGTGCCAATTAAAGACACAATTAAAGAGTAAAAAAAACTCTTAATTTGGTGAAAAATGAAAAGGTAGAAATTTTAATACGAATTCAATACAATAATCAAAATGAAAAATAAGCAATACATTTGAGGGAGAAATTTAACACCTTCCAAATTTTCCCAAGGTAATGCCATAAAAATTGGGGGAGGGGTGTGAAAATAGAGACAACGAAAGGCTTACCACGATTCTCCGAATAAAATTTCTAATATTATATTATTTTATTATATTTAAAATCTACTTTTACCACTAATGGGTTACTTGATGTCACTAACGCATGCACGAGATTAGGAATATTTACTCAAGACAACGCAGCCAACGTCCCTGTATAATCCATTTAAAACAACACCCACTTCGATAATTCATAAAAACGTATTTCCGAGGTAGCTCAAATAATGAATTCTTTATGTCACCTAACGCTTAATCTATTTCCAAAAATCTTAAATTTTGAGTAGAGATATCACTGAAAAAAAAAACAAACTTGTATTAACAAAAAATAAAAGGTACCAAATACTATATAAATATCACCTATATAATTAAAATTATATGCAAACATTATATGAATTAATTATAGAATTAAATGTAATTGTACTAATAAAAAATTTTAAATTTATTTCAGCAACCTACTTTTATACACTGTATTTTTTTTATTCGTACCTAAAGTATACAGACAATAATTTTACTATAGATGAATCATTCGAAAATATAAATTTTTCTTTTACTTTTGGGTTTAAAGCACATTTACACAACATTTATTTAACATTTAAGTATTCAATATTTTGATATTTTGAGATTTAACCTCTTCCACATTTTCCAAAGTAATGCACAAAAATTAGGGGAGGGGTGAAAATTGAGACACCAAAAGGATTACTACGACTCTCCGAATAAAATTTCTAATAATATATTATTTTCAAACGAGATTATTCAAAATACACGTAAATACAATTTTAAAATGGACGACCTTGTACATTATATTTTTTCGGCACTTTACAAAATATGTACAAAATAGTTTATAATTTATGAAGAAAATTCCACGATTCGAACGGTGGAAAAGTTCGTAGAGGAAAAAATACTGTATTCATGCTTCCTACGGAGCTGGCGGCGACGCGTCCGATGAAATTTATCGAAAACGCGCCTAAAACCCTATGTTATTGTCCATTGTGATCCATTGTTCTCATTATCCCGAAGAATGATTGGACCTAACGAATTATAAATACAATATGTGCGCAATATATTTGTCGGCGCCATATGTTAGGTCAATAATATAATAGGCGGTCGTCCGGCCGATACTGAGACCATATTATCGTATATTATCGTAAATTTATACGGGTTGGCAAATACCGAGAATCCATAATACCGAATCTTTTGTCGTCCGGTAATTCGTCGAGCCGTATATAACATTAACAAGAAAAAAAAACCAGACTTCCTTTAGAATTCGAATCGCCATACAAGTATTACAGTCCTTTGCTAGTCACAACGTGCACCAGTTGTATGCAGTATTAACGTTTACGATATGTTTTCACCGCAGACAAACACGACATTATAATATAGGCATAATCGTTACCAAAACCACACCGTCAAAATTGTAGAGAAATATTATTTCAACTTGGAAAATAACGATAACATATGATGGACCAAATATGCTGAAAAACGATTCTGAGCGAAATTCAGTTATCAATGTTTAATTAAAAGAGTTTGTATGGTTGTCGTCGATATTCAAAAATGTTACAAAAAAGGTCTTTTGTCGTTTTTTTGATCGAAGCAAAATTTTTAACATTAAATTCGTTTATAGACAGTAAAAAAAAACACATATTATAGGGAAACCAAAAAATTCCTCACCACGTTCCAGATCTAAAAATATTATTCCAACAACATGCAATATGATATGGACAGGTATTGTATTTTNCATCGGCATCGAAAATTTAGGAAACGATAAAAACGCTTTTATCTCCTTAAACAGAGGAATTATTAAATCATTATTAGCAACAAATTTAATAAATTACATAATCAAATTAAAATCATTTTTGTTATTGATTTTAATAATAAAAGTTAATTAGGTATTTTAATAAAGTTTTCTTCACTCTTCATAATATAATATATGATACCGAAAAAATTGTTTAGGTCTATGATCTATGGGAAATATGTATCCTAAAAAACTATATAACTTATCACTACAATATGCACATATGGATATAATTGGAATCGACTTATCACTTTCCTCATAATATTTTAACATAATCGTCGCTATACAAATTACTAAAATATATGACTTACAACATTTATCGGAATTAAATATTAATTTGTCCCATTTCTCATGACAAATGTTATTTTTGAAGTGTATGGATGTGCAAACAGAAAAAGGTTAAAAGTTGACTTGTCGTATTTCTTACAATAACAGTCCTTATATTATTATTTTAACTATTTCAGTTGTTGGGTTTGGGATAGTAATACTTTCCGTATAATTTATTTTACCAATACTACAAAACAAAAACATAGGACTTAGGTATTTTTTTATTATTGTATCGTAAATTCAATGAATATATTGATATTTGTAATTGTATGTGCACTCTCAATTAAAAGGGCAGGATTTAACTTTTATATGTCTTAAATTTGTTCAATTGTCTTGTACGTAATTTCATCGTCACATCATTATCTCATAAACGTACTCAAAATTAATTTATACATTGATTAACGGTAGGTATGACAATGTATTTATGGTACTTTTGTCATGAAATTTAAATAAAATATTGAACAAAATTATAAATAAAGTTTTATAGTACATTAATAAAAAACCTACACTTTTAATTTAAATTGTCTGATAATCGTCAAAATTCGGCACGGCATAAACCAACAAGGGTAAAATACGTCAAATGTATTTCGCTTAAAACTTAAATATATTAATAGCTAATTGTAGGCTGCTGACCACCGATCAAATAACTTCTGTCATATAGTTCTATACATCAAAAAATCAACCTAGTTTTTTTCGGGAAAGAGAGGGTGCTACTTGGAAACAGAATTCCAAAAGTACGCTTATGCATGATCTATAAAAAAAAAAAATGAAATAAAAATCTATGTAGAATTACAGAATAAACTCAAAAAATTACGTGAAGAATACGAGTATACAAAGAGATATACCAAAAGTTTTATTAGTTCTAGCATATTATAGTACAAGATATTTATGATTTATTAATATTTTTTATTATTTACTTTAATTGACTTAAAACTAATGCCTGTGATTATTAGGTGAAACGCATTTGACATTATTTTCCCCTTGTCGTATTTTACCTTCGTCATTTTTTACTTAACGGTTTTTTTCTAAATTCAAGTCTTTTTTAATTTTCCAAGTACCTATTATTCACAATAATTTGGAAAACCGAAAAAAGATGAAAAATGAAAAACAAACAAATTTATGGTGTACGATTTCATTATTCTAAATTTGTACACACGATATTTTCTACCGGAAATGTTGTTTTTTCCATAAAAACGACAGGAAGCATGTTTTGTTGAATTTGGGATCTACTTGGTAAGTAGTTTTTAAAGTCGTTCTTTGATTTACTTTGCAGTACTTTTAAGACCAATCAAATTTACGAAAATAATACGTTTATTATTTTCAATGAACAAAGTTTGTTATTTTTATTTCAACATCTTCGGTAAAATCATCCGGTAGGCAATTTGCATTTGAAACATGTACAGTTTCTCTTTGGAAAAATCAAAGTTGGTTTCACAGGATACTCGTATTATAAGTATTGTGAAAAATCCAAGTATTCGAAAAAATCGTCTCTCACTATATGCTTAAAAATTTTGCAAATATCGGAATTTGAATTTACTCACGATTNTTTAATCACCCCACCCACCTTCCCCCCGTTTACCATCTCGGGTACGGGTATTGTATACCTACGTTCCGGACGGAAAACGATGGCGAAAATGGCATCGAGAATCCGTTTAAACGCCGTTTCAACGGCGCGCGTTGAAAAACTTTTTGCCAACCTGCTAACATATTCGTACATAGGTAATACATAATAACATCTGGACGACAAACATATTTCAGCTATGCGCACGCTGTAGTACACGAATACAATGCGCGACGGTCCAGGAAAATACAATAACGCGTCGTCGTCGTCGTATTGTTCTGACATTCGGTTGTTGCGGGCGAGGAATGCGTATATTATATTCCATGAGATGACGATTTCGATTTGGACAACGCGGTCTCCGCCGAAGAACCGGACGGGATAGTCGAGCAGCTGGTCCCTCGGCACTCCCTACCCGTTTTGCTACCACGATCTCCCACCTACGACGAAAAATAAATGCAACCCCCGCACTATCCGCGTGTTAATAATATTACGTATTATCTGTTACACCCTCTTACGAGTAGCTGCCTATAAAAGTGGCCAAGAAGCGATTCGGACGTTCAGTGTTGTTTTGTCATTTTTACCTACAACTGTTATTTTTTTTATATTCTTAATATAAAAACGTCGTTGGTCACCATGAATTCTCACAATATTAAAATATTTGCAGTCATGATGCTCATTGTAATTGTCATACCATACATGGATGCCGTGCCTTGCATGCATTCCAGGCCAGTCAATAACCCGCCACTGTCATTAACAGGTACGTACGTAAAAAACCGATGGACATTTTTTTAATGGTTTATAAAAAAAAAAATAATATAAAAATTAATATTTTTAGCAACATGTGTATTAGCGGTAACCTATGATTTCACGCCTGTTATAACATTTTTAATATTTATACTTAAGTATTTTTATAATGGTACCTTAAATTAGGGCAAATTTTGGATGGTTTTTTTTTTTAAATACAGTAGGTAGAAATTTAAAATTTAAGTGATACTTTTTTAACAAATACGAATTTTGTAAGTACTAATTTCATAAAAATCTCGCACAATTATAGTTAAAGATGTTATTTTTCTTTTTCTTTTAAATAGAGTTCACTTATCTGTAAACAATTATCATACCTAACAAATAAAAGTTAATAACAGATTTATTTCTTTTTTAGTACCATAGCAAAATTAAATTTTCATATAGGTACCATTCATTTCATTGGTAGTATATAGCCAGTGTTGTAAAACACGATTTAAATTTATTTGCTTTGATTTTCTCCCGTGAGATGCTACCATAAGTGTACGTCACTGTACTTATAAAAACCATAACTATATTCAAATTAAATATTGTTTTCTCTTAATCTCATATGTGGGCTATATGTAGTGACATATCCATAAACGGTATCAGCTATTTTTCTTTTATATATGTAAATAAAATATTTACTGTTATAGTTTCGATGTTAACGATTTCATTATTTGAAAATCTTTTCATTTTTGTTGTTTATCTGATGTTGTTCCAAATATTAAGACTATTAGCATAATGATCATATTTTCTCAAAGATAATTTCGTTTAGTTGAGGTAAAAGAAAGGCATTTTTTTAAATATCTGAGTAGTTTTCTTAGTAATCTTGAAAACCATAGAAAAAACGGGAACGTTTACACGGAATAATCAGTTTTATAATTTTTGATTTTGTAATTTTAATGTAATTTAGCTAAAAAACCAAAAAATAGTAAACTGTTTAATAAAAAAATTGCTAAAAACATTTTGCAACTCGCTTCTAGTCGAAGAGTAATAAAACCATTTCTTAGTTTTATTTTCATCTTAGTTAATTTTGGCTATGAAATTTCATAATAAAATCTATTTCGATATTTTTTGCGTCTCCCTATCCACTAACATAATAATGTTCACCTAAGAGGTTAAAACGCACAGGCACCATAAGTGTCAAGTAACACGGTAATTCGATCGCATACATACAACATAATTATAGCTGGGTTTACTTTTATTTATATACATTTTGAAAGTGGAATAGGTTTCAGATTACAAGTAATTTATGTCATAAATTAGAAAATATAATTGGTTATTCACTACAAAAATATTTTTTATACCGTGAATAAAAAATACAATACAGTAGTAATATACAGTAAAATACTTTTATTTGAATTCTTACAACACTGTATTTATATTATTAATAACATTTAAACTGTTTTTGTTATTCCCCATAGTTTCTAGAAATTAATTTGTGTTTTTTTTATAAATTAGATGGAGCTGAAAGAAACAATGACGGAAAACCACTTACAAACACATCCTCAATGGGCACGGAAGTACGTAAGCAGAATGACAGTAATGTTGGGAAAGATAATAAATATGGCATAAGTAGTATGGATGAAATAGACAGAACCAATTTCGACGATTTTGGTGGAAAACACTAAACGAAATAAATCGTATATAATATGATATAGCTTTCAGCAAAATTAAAATAATTTTACGATTCATTTTATATTGTCATTTATTATTTTATAACACAATCAATCATACTTAAACAGTAATATGATCATAATATATAATTTTACTATTTGATTTACCTAATTGTCTTATTATAATATTATTATGTGTTCACATAATATATATATACCTTTTTTCTACTATTAGTATACGTACCTTTTTTTGAAAAATACTATTCAGCAGGACAGGATTTAATAATTTTGCGCCCCTATGGTAAATTAATTTTTGCTGCCCCTATCAATATACTGAATTGCTTTCTTCTGAAAACATATCTCCTTATTAACCATAGTGACAAAAGTTTTATGAACATAATCTCCGAGATGGTAACTATTATAAATAATTTGCATACATTAACAAATCTTTAACTTTTAATAAAAATCAATAAAATAAGTTATAATAAAGCATAAAGTCGTTGTCATTGACGAGTTCATGAGAAAAATAGATATAATTTTGCTAAAACTAAACGAATACACAATTGAAATACACCGATCGACATTTCGAAATGGTATAATTAAAACAAAAATTGTAGTTGTTATACATAAACACAAAATAAATATTCAACAAAATGTTGCATCTCTATGCGACCTCTTAGTTCGAAATGTCTTAAATTCACCACTGCTATTCAGTGAACTTTTGTATGAGGTGACAAACTATGAGGTTTTCGAGTATTCTATAACATGGTAGACATACATACTGTCGGCCTTACTTCCTGTAACTTAAGTATAATTTTAAGAAAATAATNGGTACCGAAGTACGCGATTACACCGAATAATATTAAAATTGAATCGAAGTTCCTCTTGTTATTCTTATTAGTTTTGAACTTAATGTTTGTTGAATTCTTAAAAATCTTTAGCCTAATTAAGACTCCTATTTCATATTGTCATATTTTTATTATTACATATTTGTCTACCTAATTCCATAACATCCAACATCTAATTCCAATTTATTTCTTGTTTTCATATGATTATATGGTTTAAATAACAAAAAATCGATAATTGATTCAATACATTTTAACGTCAGATGAAGGAAAAGAAACTAAAATAAAAAGACATTTGTATACCTTTAGAAAATCGGCAATCGCTAATAGTTTATGATAGCAAAAAAAATATATCTTTACCTTCCCTCCTGTTAATCAAAATCGTCTCTTCCCTTGTCTGGAATTCTCGTTATTGTACTTAGGAGGTACCTATACTTACAAGTTTACGGATTTGTGTTGTTTTGTTTCGAGTCCATCAGGGCCTCCTCTGGCTGCAAACGAGACGCTTACCTTCGGATGTATATTCATAAACCTTGATACGAGGTTGTCCCAAAAGTAATGCACAATTTGCTCTGAATAAATAAGTTTTTATTTTAAACTAAATACAATATTATAGACCTTCGATATAATCTCGCTGCTTGTCTATACACGATTGCCATCGTTTCGGGAGCGCTTGAATGTCGCATAGGACGCCATATTTGTTGAGTTCACGGATCCTTCGGCTCACTTCTTCATTTAGTATATCTAAGTTGGGAAAACGGATCCCTCTAAGTGGTTCCTTCAGTTTTGGAAATAAATCAAAGTCCGGGGGACTTAAATCCGGCGAATACGGTGGGTGTTTGAGGCGTTCCCATCCATATTTCTCCAAAAGAGCGACGACTGGTGCCCCGTTATGCGGCCGCGCATTATCGTGCAATATGGACACACCATTTTGTAACATTCCTGGTCGCTTTTTACGGATTTCTGGTCACAATTTTTTGGCAAGGAATATTTTGTAGTAATCCCCGGTTACACAACTGCCAATTGGAACTCGATCAGTGACAATTATTGTTGCGAGAATAGCCGCGTTAGTGTTGTCTTGAGTAATCGTAGAGGGTCGGCCAGAGCGAGGGTTGTTATCAATACTTATACGACCATCACGGAATCGCTGATGCCATCTTTGCACTGTACTACGATTCACAGTATCCGTTCCACAAACTTCATTTAACGCGGCATGAATTTCAGGCACTGTTTTACCACGAATCGTTTCGATTTTAATGTATGCGCGTTGCTCAAAAACAGAAATGTGAGCCGACGAATTGTTCTCACTTTCGTTATCGCTCTCACACATCATCATACTTTACTAAAACAACTAAAACTGAAAACGCACGTGTTGGTTAGACTTCAAGCTACAAACTGATACTAAAATCAGTTGATAATATCACATTGCAAGACAGCTAAAGCGCGCTATGCATTACTTTTGGGACAACCCTCGTAATATTGACGTTAAAACTTGTATCTTAATACAAGGATTAAATTGTATATTTTCGGAATCAAAACCAAAAAAAAAACTGATACTACTTACGAGTGCAGCCACTGTTATCTGGAGAAAGTTGAAAAGGAAGGATATATAAAATTATTTAATTTTTATCTTTACGCAAAGAATAACGACAAACGGTAATAGGAAAAGAAAGCACCGCTGTAAATTAACACGTTTATTTTAATAATAATAATAATAAACACACACTTTTATTATACTTATAGATTTAATTTAATAAAAAATACAGGCAATTTAAAAATAATTTTTTAAACCCATAATTTCCATATGTTATAGGTGTTATGACTTACTGCAATTAAAAAAATTATACAATATTTGTTAGGTCGTTGTGTACATTAATTATGAAATAAATTAAGAGTTTTTGAAGCAATAAATAAGAAATAAGAAAAATATTTTATTTTTAAATTTTCAGTACAAGTATAAGTTTCTATATCATAGATATTATGCTTTTTTTGAAATTGGTGCTAAATAATACAAAGGAAAACGGCAAGGTCACAAAAATTCCAATAAACCATTGGTAGATGGTCATACCATTGTCATAAAGTAGTTCGTAGTGACGTAGCTCAGCTACTCACGGCATTTTTTTTTTTTAGTTAACGTGCCGTCCAAAACTCCTATAGGTATCCGATATTAG